ATTAATATTATCTACTATACTAGTAAAGATAGTATTATTATTACTATTAAAGATAAGGTTATTATATTTAGTAGCTACTCTAAGCTCTAACTTATTAATTTTATTATTAATAATATCTACTTTAGAAAGGATAGAGTTAATATTAGTAGTATTATCCTATTTAACGTCCCCCCTATTAGACCCTTATACTATAGGCTCCTAATCCTAATTAAAGTTAAAAATACTAAGGTTATTATAGCTTATTTTAAGGTTACTATCTTTATCTATAACTTAAGAGGTACTATTATCTTCTTAGGATTATATTATAATATCTTATAATTATCTAGATATATCTTTAGATCTATAGCTAACTCTAATCCTAGGGACCTTATAATTTAAGTTAAGTAGCTATAGAGAATTACTAGAAAGGTTAATATACTTAGGACCTATAATTACTAATAAAACTAAAGTTATTAAACTATAATTATAGTAGTAGAAGATATAGAGATTTTAATAGTTAAGGAGTTATTAAGGGAAATTAGGTATATAAAATAACTATATAAAAAGAGAAGAGAAGAGTAGAACTATAATTAGTATATTATTACTATAGTTACTTTTAGTAGTAGTAGTAGTAGTGCGTCTAGATATAGCGCTAGCTAGAACTATAATAATAAGTAGTATAATCCTCTAGAGAGAGAGACTTTAGTTATAAAGCCTACCTCTTAGTATTATAAGGTATATTAATATTCCTAATAAGTATTATATAATTATATTATTATTACTATACTAATATATTACTTATAGAGAAAGGCTACTTAGGAGTCTCCTACTAGTCTATTTTAGACTAAGGGTAGTATTATTCCTAGCACCTTAACTAGCTCCCTTATTAATTAGACTTCTAGCCTTATTATAACTAGCCTTTAGTTTAATAGCTTATCTACTTTAGCTTCTATTTCTAATATAGATATTTAAGCTACTTACCTTTAGCTTACTTATAAGCTATTTTATATTAACCTTATTAAGATATAAGAGGAGCCCCCTCCTACCCTTATATAGAATAAGAATATAGAAAAGGCTATTATTATTAGATTTAAGGGTAATATAGAGGGTAATACTAATAATACTAATAATAATAATAATACTTCTACTACCTCTAGAAAGAAGCTACTTTTTAATATAACCTCTAAGGAGTCTATTTACTTTAATATTATTATTTATAAAATATTATTTATTTAGATATTAAAGGGCTTTATTAGCTTCTATATTAAGAAAGCTTTATCTTAAACCTCTATAATAATAATATATTATATTAGTATTTAGAAATACCTTAAAGAGCGCTTTAAGAATATAAAGTTAAAGTTCCTCTAATATTATACCTATATAAGTCTACTACTTTTTTAATACTTTTATATAACTAACCTTAATATAGACTCTTATTATTAAGCTTATTAAGTTTTACTTTAAGATTCTTAACCTTATCTATATTAATATTCTTAAGTCTAATTAATAGCTAATAAACTTCTTTACCTAGAGGCTTAATATTATTATCTTTAAGGCTATATTCTTCTATATAAAGGATATTATTAACTTTAATTATATAAAGAGGGTATAAAGCTATAGTTTCTACTTTATTAAGATTATCTTCCTTAGTATTATCTCCTTAATGCTTTAGCTTTAGATTAATAAGGATAAAATAAATATATTTAGTAATAAGGGGAAGTATCTTAAGATTAGTTTTAAGTCCTAAAAGAAGGATAATAACTAGTATATACTTATCTAAGAGAGCTTTAATAGCTAGGGCTATATAGATAAGTTTATATATATATTAATAAAGTCTTTTATAATCTATATAACTAATATACTATTTAATAAGAGAGCTACTACTATTAACGTTAAGTAAGCTTATACTTACTTAATTATAGTATATTATATTTATCTTTTATAGATTAGATTTAATCTTATTAACTTAAGGATAAAACTAACCTCTCTTACTCCCTCTTAATAATAATAATATCTTTAGTAGTAGCTTTAATAGTGTATATAATAATAGCTCTTTTATATTTAAGTCCTTTAAGTATACTTTTATTCCTAGTAATGATCTTTATATTTAGTCTATAAATACTATAATCCTAAAGTCCCCTCTTAAATATAAAGGTAAGTAGTACTAAGCTATAATAGTAGTTATTTATTTTATATCCTATTATAATTATTAAGCTACTTTTATTTCTATATATTATAATACCCTTACTCTATCTTTAGATATTATATTACAATTAGTAGTTACTAAATATATTCTTCTAAGGGGGGTTATATAACTTAACTTTCCTATTTAATACCTAGCTATTACCTATCTATCTCTATCTATTAGTATAACCTAAATAATATAAATAATAGAGAGCTAAGTAAAATACCTATTTCTAGGCTTAATTCTTTACTTTCTTATTCTTAATATATTTTTACTCTTTATTTATAATAGTTAAGGTTATAAGTATTAACTTTAGGAATCTAAGCTTCTTAATACTTACGCCTTATCTAGCCTAACTAGATTTTTTATTTAGTTTTTATTAGTAATTTATTATTATAATTATAATTATTATTATTATAAAGTATAAATTTAGAAGTTTAAATTATATATTATTAATTATAGTTACTAACTTAATCCTAATTATATAAGTATAGCGTCTAACCCTTAAGTATAAACTCTAAGTTATTTAAAATCTTAAAATAATAATCTAAAAAGTTTATATTATAAATAAATAGAGAAAAGTAGCTAATAATTTTTTATAAACTAAGGCGTTTATTTTAGAAACTTTATTATAATAATAATATTAAGAGCTATTATACTAGTAATTTTATTAGATTAAGTACCTATATAGTATATTTCCTTTACTATATTTTCTTTTTACTTTAGTATACTAAATAGTCTATTAGATTATTATATTATTATTAAATATTCTAGTGTTTTTAATTCCTTTATAACTATAGCTAGTAATAATTACCTAGTTATACCGCGTTTACCTACTAAGAGTGAGATTATAATTAAAGAGCTAGCCCTCTAAGGAATTAGTATTAAAAGTATTAGACCTAGCGCTACTAAAGCTTATTATTATATTTATCTATAGATTATAAGCAACTAGATAGCTAAAAGTAATACTAAGGATAATATTAAGTAAGAGAGTAGTAGTAGTAAGGAAGACTAAAAGACTAATAATACTAATAATATTAATATATATAATAAGTCTAGTAATAATAACGCTATTAACCTTATTAATACCTTTTAGTAATATTAATATTACTAAGAGGAAGCTAAGCGTTAGGCTTATATAGATAAGGACTTAGAGGAGTACTATAGTTAGCTACTAGCTATATTTAAGAAAGATAAGGATAAGGATATAGATAAGTAGTAATAATTATATTATAATAATAATATATTAAGATAATAAGTAATAGAAATATAAAAGAATTAATTACTAAGCCTTATTAATATATTACTATTATATTATATTAATTAATTATAGATATTATGAAAGCTAATATAAAAGCTAATATAAAAGCTAAATATAATATTTAACTAGAAACCTATAGCGCTAGGTTAGATACCTCTAGTACTATATAGCACTTTAGTTAGCACTTGTACTATAATCTAGATACTAGTAGAACTAATAGCACCCTATAATACCTATATACTAATTAAGGTACCTATAGCACCTAGCACCCTTAGCACTAGCTAGCACCTAACGGAACACTACCCCTACTATATTAGCACTATATCCCTCTATAGCACCCTGCCGCCACTGTGGGGACACCGTTTAGAGAACCCACCATTTTCCACTAAGGAACTATGTCAGCTTAGCCAACGTACAGACAGCCAGTACAGAGAAAACACCCGGAGTAGGTAAGCTCGCCCAGCTAGCGCCAGCCAGCCCCCACCTCATCCATCCCAGGTCCCAACCTAATTACCACCTACCTTACCTAAGGTAACCTAACCTACCAAAGTGCCCCAGCCCCCAGTCAAGTCAAGTGTGGCAGTGGCAGCCGCAGTGGCACTCCATCCAACCCAACCTACCTTACTAGACTGTGCCGCTGGTCACAATCTCGGAAGTTGGAACTTTGACCCCCAAATGCACCACCGCCAAACACCTTACCTGAAAGTGAAGATAATGTCTTGCGGATACCCGGCCTACTACTCCCGTTGACAAACCCATTTGACTCAAGGTACGCCCAACCGCCGTGTCTGCTCGTCGTCGCCTTTGGTTTCATTCCTGTTCAAGGCTGCCTTGGCCTTGCCCTGGTCCATCCCGACTGACGATATCCCCAGGATTTCGTTCTTACATCACCACCAAGGCCCACGATCCGATCGATATTTGCGACTCAAACAGAAACCGCCAATCCTTCATCTCTCCGTCGTCGTCGCCGGCTCCCATTCAGCCTCGTCTTCGGGTCAGCTCAGCGCCGACCTTCTCCGGCTGGCAGGTTGCCTCGATATCCCGACACTACACAGCTGTCGTTCCATGACGTGTAAGCTTGTCTTATCCGGCCCCGTCCTGGACCTTTTGCATCGCGGCTCTCCGCCGAAATCCATCATGCACTCACTGTCTTGCTCCGGCCGGCCTTAAGCTTTTCTACCTTGCCACGTCACTCATCTCTCTGTTGCCTGCGAGTGCGGGCTTTCCACAGCTGAGATGTCGTGTTCGGGCTGCATCGCGACTGAGTGAATTTCGGTCAATATGACAAACCCTTCGTCACTACTGCGCGTTGTCTCTAGCAGGAGCATTTCTAACGAATTTTGCGTTATAGGAAACCCAACACTCGATTCGACTGAGTCTTTTCTGTCCCGAGTTTCCCGCCTCCGGGGACGCCGGCATCGAGCTTCGAAACCCTCCCACAACCGTGCCGACCCTCGCAATTGCTGCGACAGGACCGTTCCATCCTGATGATCCGCGACTTCATCACGTCAATACATCCGTCGCTTGATCAATTACGTTGCATCTGAACCAGTCGCTCTCCCTACTTGAGTCATCATGGGTTTTCTAGGAGTCTACAAGGCCATATACGACTATGCGCCACAAGCTGAGGGCGAACTCGCGATTGCCGATGGAGATGTGCTCTACATTCTGGAGAAGAACTCGGAAGACGATTGGTGGAAAGCCAAGAAGAAGGCCAGCGCCGATGATGAAGAAGAGCCCGAAGGCTTGGTTCCAAACAACTATGTTGAAAAGGTAGCTTCGTCTCTTGGGTCCTAGCTTACGCAGTCCTAACTCTTGCGCAGGCCCGACCCCTAGCAAAGGCACGCGCATTATACGAATACACCCGCCAGACCGACGAAGAGCTCTCGTTTCCTGAAGATGCCGTCATCGACGTTTTCGATACATCCGATCCTGACTGGATTTTGGTCGGTCTGGAGGGCGAGTATGGCTTTGTCCCCTCCAACTACATCGAATTGGGTGAGGCGGAAGAGCTCGCTCCCGAGCCCTCGCCACCCCCAGCCTTACCGTCGCGTTCTTCTGCCGTCGCGCCTTCCGACGCCAATAACTACTCGGAAAGACCCGAGTCTGCCTACTCGGCCGCTGGTACCCAAGCGAACCCAGCCGCTACTTTGGCTGGAGTGATGGCTGGACGCTCCGCTCCCGCTCCTGCTCCTCGCGCCGCCAGCCCCCCGCTATCGCCTCAATCTCCGTCAGAGCCGTCAGACGACGAGCCTGTCAGAAGTCCGGCTTTGCCCGCGAGACCAATTTCTCAGGCTACCCCTGTTCCAGCTCCAGCTCCCGCACCTACGCGCATTCAGACACAGAGATCAATAGATACACACCTATACGACAATTCTCCCGAAATCGAGGAGCCCCCTTATCGTGCGCCCGGCGGTTTCCATATGTACAACATCAATGAGATGGTGTCCGTGATGGGGAAGCGCAAGAAGATGCCCACCACCCTCGGTGTCAATCTGGCGACTGGAACCATCTTGATTGCCCCTGAACGCACCCAGGATGGCCCCTCTCAAGAATGGACTGCAGACAAGATGACGCACTACTCCCGGGAGGGCAAGCACGTCTTTCTGGAGCTCGTCAGGCCAAGCAAGAGCGTAGATTTTCACGCGGGTGCCAAGGATACCGCTGAGGAAATCGTGAGCGCTCTAGGTGAATTAGCTGGTGCTGTTAGAGCCGAGGGTTTGAGAGAAGTCATTATGGCAGGTGCTGGAAAGTCCCAAAAGAAGGGGCAAGTGCTGTACGACTTCATGGCCCAAGGAGACGACGAAGTGACGGTTGCCGTTGGCGACGACGTCGTTATCATTGACGACACCAAAAGCGAGGAATGGTGGCAAGTTCGACGCGTCAAGAACGGAAAAGAAGGGGTGGTGCCAAGCAGCTACATTGAGATCACAGGCTCCATCACCCCGCCGTCTAGTAACACTGGCATCAACGCTGCCAAATCAACTGTCGAGCAGAACCGCCTGGAGGAAATTCGATTGACAAAGGAGGCTGTCAAAGCCGCTCAGAGGGACAGCTCACAGCAGGTAGGGCCAGGAATGCCTCTACCAAAGCGAGGCAGCAGTCTTATGGCAAGTGAAAATGGTAATAACAACTATGGACAGCGGAGTAAACGCGAGAACGGTCGTGGCGAAGGCGGTACCCAGCGCTCTGGGAAATCAAGTAAGTCAAGACGTGACTTCGAATCAACTCCGCAGATGCACGTACACGTACTCACGTTTGGGACGTAGAGCCGGACCCCTCCAAAGTCAGGACGTGGACCGACCGATCGAAGTCCTTCAGTGTCGATGCGCAGTTCCTTGGACTCAAGGACGGCAAGATCAATTTGCACAAGATGAACGGCGTCAAGATCGCAGTGCCGGTAGCCAAGATGTCGGTGGAGGATCTGGAGTACGTCGAACGAATCACCGGCATTTCCCTGGACGAGGACAAGCCGTTGTCCAACGTGAAGAAGAACAGAGCATCCCAGGCCGCTGCAGCCAGAGGCTCACCCGCCACGGGGATTGGTGCATCGATCGGCCAACCACAGAAGCCTGAGTATGACTGGTTCCAATTCTTCCTGTCTTGTGACGTCGCCGTCGGCTTGTGTGAGCGCTATGCGCAGGCATTCTCCAAAGATTCCATGGATGAAAGCGTCCTTCCCGATGTCGACGCTTCTATCCTACGCAACTTGGGACTTCGCGAGGGAGACATCATCAAGGTTATGCGAACGCTGGATCAAAAGTTCGGCCGCATCCGTGGAGGCGACAAGGCCAGCGCAGATGGAGACGGTGGTTCTGGGGGTCTTTTTTCCGGTCCTGGCGGCGCCTTGCGGAACAACACTAGGAAGGGCAGGCCGGCACCCGCTGTCCAGACAAGCGATGTTGTTGACCCTAAGGCCTTTGCCAGTAAAGACGACGGTGCGGCCCAAGAGTATGCATCAAAGTCGCCCGCATCAGCGTCGACGGACGCGGCAGGTCAGAAGAACGGCTTCGATGACGATGCGTGGGATGTGAAGCCGACGAAACAGCAAGAACCGCCCGCGCCCGCTCCCGCACCGGCTCCCGCGCCTGCTCCTACTCCGGCTCCCGCCGCGACACAGGCTCCCGCCCAACCTGTCCAGCAGCCTACCCCGGCTCCGCAGATGCCAGCTTTAACCAGCTCCATGCAGGAGCTATCTCTTCTAACCCAGCCTTTAGAACCTCAGCGAACTGCGCAGCTTCCGGCGCCAAGTCCGGCGGTCACACAGCCTCCAGCATCGGCTCAGGCTCCCCAGCCGACCGGGGCCACTCCATCGTTCTTTGCCACGGTCCGACCAAACCCTACCGCAGTCCAGTCGCCGCAGCAGCCTGTACAGAGGCAAAGGCCCGCACCTCCGGCTGCGGCGGCAAACCCAGGCGCGCTGATGCCTCCTCCTCCTCCGGCACGGCCCTTGTCGGCTCCTCAGTCAGCCCAGCCCAGTGCCTTTGCACCGCCGCCTTTGGCACCTCAAATGACGGGTTACCAAACTCAAGTCGCGCCACCAGGTCAAAGCTTGCACGAGATGAACCAGGCTCGTATGCAGCAGCAGTTCGCGATGCAGCAGCAGCAGATGCCGCAACCACAGATGAACTTCCCCGTGCCTCAGCAGCAGCCTATTCCAGGGGTGATGGGCTTCAACCCGAACATGCAGCAAACCGGTGGACAGCAGTTTATGCAGTCCATGCAGCCAATGATGACAGGGGCGCCTGCACAGAGTCCCTTCGCCGATCCCCATCGTCAGAGTCAATTCTCTCCAATGCAGACGCAGCCCACTGGCTTCCCGGGGCAGTACGGGACCCAGCAGGGATTTAATTCTCAGCCAACCGGCAGCATCAATTCATTCTTGCCACCTGCCATGGAGCCGCAGCGGACAGGTATGCCGGGTTTTCAGCCGCAACAGACCGGTTTCCAACCTCAGCAGACGGGCTTTGGGGGGTTCAACAACATGGCTGGCGCTGGTCTTGTTGGTGCTCCGGCTCAACCTCTGCAGCCGCAAAAGACAGGGCCCCCACCTCCCGTACGATTTGGTGTTACAGGAGATGCGAAGAAGTTGATGCCCCAACCCACAGGGCGGCGGGCCAACCTCTCCCAAGCAAGTAAGTCATTCGTTCCCTCTCCTACGGTCAATCGCGCTTGCGGACTAACACCTGCTTTCAGCTCCAAACAATCCTTTCGGTTTCTAATTGTACCTGCATCGACGTAACTGATAACCAGTATATTCTGGTTTGCAGCGAGCGAGATCTTTTGGTTGTGTTTTCTCTTTCTGGACACGCCCTGCATAGCATAGGTGCACTGCAGATATGCTCACCGCCGTTATACCAGCCTCTACGCCTAGATGTACTTAATATTATTTTCACACTTGCACGTATTGATTGATGTGAACTCCTGATCGTAATTCGCGACATCGCGTGCCATTTCCCAGATGTTTTCCGGCTCTTTAGTTGGGCATGAGTCTGAGTTTTCGAAACACGCTGAGTTCTCAACAGAGCTTCGTCCACGATCTGATCTGACAGGTATGTGCTCTCTCGTTCCGCGTTCTGCAGTGGGTTGATGTTGCCAGCGGAGCACCTGAAATAGTCACAAGTTGTCCACAAACGGCATATGTGAATAACCCTGAAAGTGCACGGGAATCCGAAGAGTTGATAGAGAACAAAGACATGGCCAAAAATGTTTACTGAACTCCGAGACTGCCAACCCAATGCGCGTAAGAGAGACGAAGCTGCAATCAACATGACATGCTGATTGCCGAAATCTATGGAAACCTTGCTTGAAGACGGACTGCCCCCATCTTCCCCTCCAGTGTCGAAAATTGCGCTAGTGCAATATGTGTTTGTCTATTACGTACATTTTCATGCCTTTCGCCGCCGAATGGGGGTCTGTCCGGAGCGGGATGATGTCTTCGAGGCCGAGGACTCGGTGATGGCAACCTTCTCGGATGACTGGACCGGCTGAAACCTCTTGCGCACAGCACGAATCATCATGACGAACCAGTAGAAGTTCAGCCCGTTGAGAGTGATATTACTTATGAGGTAGGTGAGGGCCAGCCAAGTTGGGACGGTTGACGTCGGCGTCGCAAATCTCATGACGCCAGTCGGGACCAGTACGGCACCGGTGTCGGGGTTGACGGGCAAGACGGGGTTGGCATCGATGGCGGCGAAGATATCGGAGAAGACTCTGTACGACTGATACGTTCCGTAGACGAGACGCGCGGAAAAGAAGCTGAAGAGGAGCATCAGGCCATTGTAAAGTTGAGCACGGGAGCCTGTCATGCCCAGCTTGTCGAAGAACCAGTGAATATTGAGGAAAGGGGTCGAAAGCTCCCAGAGAATAAAGACGCAGCCGTAGTAGTTGATGAACGGCCTCTAGAAGACACCAAAGGTTAGATGCTTGTCAGGAACGTGGGGCACAAGATGCAGCTTACGAATCCAAGGGAATAGACAAAAAGGGCGCTGACAGCGTGAGCAAGCGTGCCCAGGCCAAAAACATCCATGTTGCAGCTTGTGACCACTAAATCCCAAAGGAAGTAGCCGGTAGCGAGGGCCTGAATCAAGCCGGCAGGACCGGTGTAGCCCCAAATGCGCTCTTGCCAGTCCATCTGGCTGCGCTCTTCGTCGACATACATTGTCCAGAGGGCTAGGACGTTGATGAGGGTGCTCTGGAAGAATGAGACAACATGTGCGTCCCAGTTGACCCTCTTCTTCCTAGGCAGATCGGTATACTTGCGGCCGACGAGCAGGCGCGAGATCAAGGGAGATACCGGGTAATAGATGATCGAGTAGAGCACGGCGGCGGCGAGGACCTCGTGGACGTGGAGCGGCAGCGACGGGAGGGAGAGGAAGTCAGCCCATGGCTGTGTTGCCTTCACAAGCCATGGTATGGGCTCGAAAAAGAAAGGATCTTTCATGCTCTTGTCGGGCGTTTCTCGTAAACTTGTTTAGACGCAATCGAATATCGAGTCGAAGAGAAAAGGCGGGGAGAGCGGTTGAAAGTCGAGGAAGAAGACAGGAGGACGGGCGTGAGAAGACGCAGATTAGTCCTCAAACTCCGAATTCGAGTGGGCTGCTACGTGGTTTAAGAAGCGTCAGGCCTCGTTTGAGGACAATCGGTCAGTCGCCGGGTCGATCCAGTACCAGTCCGTCAGATGGCCAAGGCGGACGAGGCTGAACAAAAGAAGTGACCGGAAGAGTCTCGCGTGAGGTTGTGGGAAGGCGTTGGTGGCTGCTAGAGAAAAGCGCGGGGAGCTGAAGGATGACTTTGGCGGGTTGTTGGGAGGAGCTAGGCTGGATGGAGGAGGACCCTTGGAAGCTGGGCTTAATTAGTGTGTAAGGTTCCGAGAACTGTACTAGACAGATACCCGTGTGGACGGGGGCCGAGGCACGAATGAAGCTGGTACCTTGAGGTCAGGTACCTTACCAACTTACCTACCTAGGTACCTAAGGTAATGGAAGGTACTGCACTAGATGCCCACCTTACCTTAGGGCCCCGGCGTCCGCAGACGTGCTGCTCGGCTCGCGGGCACGAGATCAGGTCATTCATCATTGGTCTCTTCCATGTGTCAAGACCATCGGTAGGTAGTATGCATACTTGTCGTTTTAGATGTTAGGGCGCATGCTGCAAAGGTGGCAATCCGGTGATGCCATCACACGCGACTGCTGCATTCCATCGCTAGACGGCGTTGCGTAGGTAGAGAAGACCCAATGGAAGGTGTCTACGGCGAGGCCTTCCTACTGAAGTAGGTAGGCCCGTACCTCCTAGGCTACATAAACGCAACTGTTTGTAGTTGCCGTTTAGTTACATAATCGCGTAACGTCGGATTTTCCCATAAGCACATGTCCACCTACTTCGGTACAGTAATGCCCACACCCAAAGCACCACCTTGCCAGAAGGTTGCTCTCATTGCGACCGACCTATATCTACGCTTGCCTCGACCAACGCCGCGCCTGGTATACTTAGCGATATCCAAATGTGAACAAACGCGTCTTGTCGATGTTGACGGTCAAATCATGGCCGATCTCCTTCTCGATTTGCTCGACACCAGGCAGGCCACTGTGCCCGACTGCAACCCAACGCCGAGAGAGACCAAGTTGGCATATCTGACCCATCTTGCCGACCAGAGCCCAGCAGCACTCGCTTTGACGGAGCCCCAATTGCTCTCCCAGTCATCCCAATCCCTCCTTCTATCTCTGCAAGGGGTTGCAAAGCGCTCACATAAGTCTGTCATCGACTCGGCTTCACAACACACTACTCTGGCTCGCACCCTGCCGACTCTGGTTACTGATACGGCCGACCTTCGCAATGCAATTCCCAAGCTCGACGCGGAAGCTCTGCGTTTCTCAACAACCTACAGCAAATCCGCTGAAAATGAGCATCTCGCTGAGAGGAAGCGCGCCTTGTTGTTACTACGCAACGTCGAGCGGCTCGTTGACGTTCTGGAGCTTCCCACATTACTCTCCTCCGCCATCAACACGGTCCCAGCAAACTACGCCTCGGCCTTGGACTTGAACGCCCACATACGGCGCCTGCACGGCCTATATCCAGACTCTCCTCTGGTCGACTTGGTTTCCCGCCAGGCGGACGAAGCCATCGTCAGAATGACGGCTGATCTCATCACCGCTCTCAAATCACCAGGGCTCAAGCTGGCCGCCTCTCTACGCACCGTTAGCTGGCTGAGAAGAGTTCTTCCGGATCTATCTTCCATGAGCTCTGCCAGCCGCGACTCTCAAGAGCATACGCTCTCCCTCCTATTTCTCTGCTGTCGTGTTGCCACCTTGGACGCGACGCTTGGTGCGCTAGAGCCTCTCCGCGAGCTCGCCGACGAAGAGAGACTGAGACAGCAAGGCTCCAGCACGCAGTCATGGTCTGGCGGTCAACAGACGGAGAAGTATCTCAAGCGTTATGTCGAGATATTCCGCGAACAGAGCTTTGGCGTCGTTTCCATGTTTCGGAGCATCTTCCCCCAAACCAGTACACACTCGAATCAGCCAGATGACAGCGCTCAGGACCCCTTCCAGCCTTTGCCATCAACGCTGTCGACGTTCCCGCTTCATCTCGTCGAGATGCTTCTCGAAACCTTGAGTGAGTATCTTCCGATCATCAAGGATCAGGCCGCGCGAGACAGTATTCTGACCCAGGTCTTGTACTGCTCGGGAAGTTTGGGAAGACTTGGTGGGGATTTTGGCATACTGCTGGCGAGACTTGGAGACGATGAAGAAGGCGTCACGAAACAGTCGGAATGGGTCGACATCGTCAAGCGTCACCGGCTGCTGTCGGGCCGCCTCGAATCGGTCATTGGAGACTACAAAGGCCACGGGTCTAAGGAATGATGAGGAATGAGGCAATTCGTGCAAGAGAGAATGGACTCTCACGTTCAATGACTTATGTCTCCTAGCATGACCGCCAAGGACGAGGCAAATGTTTTGCGAGGTGTTGACTCAATCCACCGATGACACTTGCGACCGGGGAATCACGGGGTACATGCTGAACAGAGTCGGCCAGGGATGGCAAAATGGCAAATTAAAGACGCGCATAAAAGATGCCACTGAGGACACGGCGTACTCGGGTCATTCGGAGTATGATTAGGTGAATCACAAGACGGGGAGATCCGGTACCCTTTAACCTCATATAGATGCATAATATTATTTTATACGGCACAATGTGTGCGTTAACGTCAAAACCCCGCCCACTAGGAAACTACGGAGCTAGAAACTACCTAGTATTAAGGTAGGTATGTGTCTTGTCCGGTCGCCAACGCCTTGGAGAAATCAAAGCGGTGACCTGCAATAGTCGCCATATCCGCTCTGGCAGAAGTCTCGACCATTACCTTCGAGTGACAAAATGGCCTCGGCGCTCATGAACGGTTTTTGTTAACGTTTGCCTGCCCAACGCGAATTCCTTCTCCCAGTGCTCGCGTCCCAGCTGGCAAAGGTTCATCGAGCCGTGACGAGCTTTTCTGTTTGCTTCCCGCCACATCCTCATGTCTCAACAGGCGGTCTCGGGGCGTTCAAAGTCTTGTGAGTTCTCCCACTATGCTGCTCCGGGTTCCGTTTTCTCCTTAATATTTGCTGATTCCGTCATGCAGCTCGGCATTTTGTTGCTGGGTTGGGCTCTGGGGTGGCCTCGGCGGTGTTGCTTCAGCCATTAGACCTACTCAAGACGCGGGTGCAACAGTCAGGCCATCGTTCGTTGACATCCTACCTCAAGGAAGTGGCCGTTGCCCCAAACAAGATTCAGACGCTCTGGCGCGGCACAGTTCCTTCAGCACTCAGGACTGGGTTCGGCTCCGCTCTGTATTTTACCTCGCTCAATTCCATCCGCCAACATGTCGCAGAATCGCGCTTGTTCGACCAGGTTACAAGCCGGGCCGCCCATTCCTCGTCACTGCCAACGCTCAATCCGTCGGCCAACCTTGTCTCCGGCGCCGTCGCGAGGACCTTTGCTGGATTTGTCCTGATGCCATTGACAGTCATCAAAGTTCGATATGAATCGAATCTGTATTCTTACCAGTCTATTCTCGGTGCCTCGACCGACATTTACAAAACCCACGGCCTTCGCGGTTTCTTCGCCGGCTTCGGCGCTACTGCTGTGCGCGACGCCCCTTACGCAGGCATGTATGTACTATTCTACGAACTGCTCAAAAAGCGGCTGAGCGTCGTATCATCTCGGGGTCGGGAGGGGCAAGGCTTCAAGACCTCGCACGCAACCGTGGTCAACTTCAGCTCCGCCATCATGGCTGGTGCTACCTGCTCCGTCATTTCGAACCCCTTTGACGCTATCAAGACGAGAATCCAACTTCAGCCGACCATTTATCGAAACATGTATCAGGCTTGTCACAAGATGGTCACAGAAGAGGGCATTCGCTCACTCCTGGATGGAGTCATGCTTCGTATGAGCAGGAAGGCAATGAGCTCGGCTTTAGCCTGGACTGTGTATGAAGAATTGATTAGAAGATCCGAGCGCACCTGGCCCTCCACCAATACGACCACGAAGAGAGCACAGCCGTAGAATTGTCTTTGGCGCTCAAATACCCGCGAAAGTCTCACCTCACTTCGTTTGATCAAACAATCGCAACCTAGACGCCTCTCCCTGATGTTATGCACCAATGACGCCGAGCAACGCTTCACCGGCGTAGGCCATTCGAATTCCAACTCATGTTCTCCTCGTCACCGTCTGCATCGGATCAGGCTGGCTTCGCTCCCGCAAGATACATGAGCAATGCTGGGGACTTGCTCCTCTTGCGGTCGCTCTTCTTCCTAACCCATTCGAACTCGGGTTCGTGACGACGAGACTTCTTGTCCTCGATCTCCAGCACCAGCTTGGAAGACCGTTTCTCGCGAAGCGCCCTGGTATGCCTCCACAGGGTGTCTTGTTCCCACTCAGGAACCCATCGCTTAATCAGCACGTACTCGGGATCCTGCTGGATATCAGTAAAAATACACGAGCGAGTCGAGGTTGAGCTCCCACGTACTGTATCCAATTCCCACTCAACGCGATATGTCCTTAGCGTCTCGATCGACAGATGCTTCCGGGCCATGCGGGTGTAGGTCGGACGCTCAGCAGGTACCAGGGCATGCATATGCTGCTCATGGATATGGATGGGAGCGGGGGCGGGGGCGGGGGCGGGGGCAGGCTTCTGCTTTGGCGGCTGAGGAATCTTCTCCTTCTTCAGGATTGCGGCAATGGCCTTTTCGTCCAGACCCGACTTGATCAAATCTTCCTGGAGGCGCCTCCGATACTCTTTATCGCGTTCCTCCCTCTCCTTCTTCTCTTTGGCCAGGCGGTCAAGTTCTTTCTGGCGCTCCTCCTGGAGGCGCCTCTGGAACTCCTTTTCGCGATCTTCCTTTTCTTTCTTTTCTCGAGCGATTCGCTCAGCCTCCTTCCTCTTGTAGCGCTCCACAGCGTCGGCGGCTTCCCTCTCCCGCTCCTTGGCCTCGTCGGCCTCTCGGAGGTCCTCTTGATACTTTTCCAACTCGATTTGAGTCTTGAAGCGTTTCTGTTCCGAGGCACGGGCCTCACGGTTCCGGATTTCATCTAGATCACGCTTAGCGAGCTGAAGCTCGGCCGCGTTTTGGTACCGCATCTGGACACGATGTTCTTCCTTTTCTCGCTCCGCGTTAAGCCTCAGCTCCTGGAGCTCATGACGAGCACGCTCAGCCTCGTAGTCCTCGCGAGTCATATAGGAGGAAGACGGCGAGCGGGAGTGCGAGGTGGAATGGCGAGAACGAGATCGGTGGTGAGAGCGGTACTGCAGCTGGCGGTCGTCTTCATCGTCTGATGAGTGTTCGTTATAGATACGGTTGTTGATGATGACCGGAGCCGGAGGCTGCGTCGGTGCAGTGCTGCTGGGAGGAGAACGACGCTCCCGAGAGCGGGATCGAGTGCGCGTGGCTATAACGGTACGCTCCGGAGTCAAGTAACTGGGCTGGGCGGCGGTGGGATAGTAGCTGCGAGGTCTTGGTCTCGCCTCGACGTAATGGACGGGTGAGGGCGAGGGAGCGCGGCGGCGCGAGACGTGGATGTCGAGATCCTCGTCGTCCGAATAGTAGCTCATGATAATGACTACGGGTCGTAAACCCACGAAGCACTAGAAGTGTGCGTATCCGGTCGACTAAGCCAGGACTGAGAAGGGGCCAACAACGGATACAAGGAACGCAATAAAGCCCGGCAACTTGTAAGAGAAGGGGAGAACAGAACAAGAGCAGATGGGGGCGGGTGGGTGAGACTTGGTGGCCCTTTATGCTTTCCCTAGCTTAGGGCATGGGGCCAACAAGATCCCTCGCGCGACATGACATGGCAGTCGGCTTACATGGATGGATATGGAGAGGAGTGGTTGGGTTGGTCAGTTTGCGCGAGGAACGGGTCAGATAATGGGGGAGGGGAAGCCTTGGTACCTACTTGGGTACTAGGTTGGTAGGGGAAGCCGTTGAGATGGAACAGTAGTGGTGGAAGAGCGAGCCGAGCACGGAACCTGACAGACGGGAGGAGCGACTCGGAATGTCTTGCCCCCCTTCTCCCACTCCCCTTCCCCCCCGATGGCTGAAAAGTGAAGCCTGGAGTACCTCAGTGGAGGAGCTGGCCGGTGATTCGTCGGTTCGTCCGCTGTCGCCCGCTGTCATCCGCTAATTCGCCATCTCCTCACCCAATCGTGCACTCACTCCACCGGCTAACCGTTAATGTCCTAGCTTTCTGCCGTAGGGCTGCACGGCTGCTGACGGTGTGGGTCCAATGTCACGGCCGGCTTGCGCTCTTTGGGGGCCGGAACGCCGGTGCCCCACTTCTTTTCCGCCAGCGCCTGAAATGACTGGCCCTTCACCACCCGATCCCATGAATTGGTTGACACTGCAAATTGGAAGTCTGCCTGCTTGCCATCCAGCCTGATTGATCTATCCGTCTCTCTCATGTTTTGCAACGGCATCCCGACCCGCATCCTTTGTCTTTCAAAAGTGCCTCCCACTCCGTCCAACTGACCAGGCCCGGAAACCAGCTGCATACCTCGTGCTTAGCCTCGACTTCTGGACCGGCTTGTCCCGTCTCCTCACTCTGACGGATTAGCTAGGTAAGTGCTAAGTGCCTTGTAGTTAGGTGCCTACCTTAGGTAAGACTCTCTGCGGTAAAGTACACCAGGGCATGCTAAATATTCGTCCATAAGTACCTAGGTAAGGTCCGTTCGGTCGTCGTTATTTTACTGGGCCGGCCCGGTTCGCGTACCCATTTGCCGGAGCTGTGCCGCCTCAGAGGGGCTGGATTTTAGCTTGCTGCCTTGGTATCTATTTGTATGTACGGACAAACCATCCGTACGATGACGGGGCAGCGTTCCAGCTTTCCGGTCACCCCCTTCCGCTATGGGTTGTTCTTGGACTGGTCGCAACGTTATCTTACGTGGTTCTTGAATGTGTGCGTACGTGAAGTAATAAATGCCGCGCCCTGCACCGAGAAGAGCGTATATTGACGCTTCTCAGGAGGCTCAAGCTCACCAACCAGCTCTCCGTCATGATTCACCGCGACAACCATCCAACACTCGGCAACGACCTCTCGCCCCTGGACTGATAAATTTGGGCTTTTTCTCTCCGACATCATTGACTCGTGCCATTGGCAGAAAATGCTCTCATTTATACGGCTTTTCCACCGACTGCCGCCACGAAGGCTCGTCTTAAATTTAGTCGCTTCTCCAATTTTGCCTCTTCTCCGAGTCTGGCCTGCACATATGCCTTAAGACTATGGGGCAAGGCCACATGAGACCAACTCCAAGCGATGCGATGTGCTCACGGAATCCGTAACCGAAGCCCCCAACGAGACTGATAGCTGCGTTCACAAAGCAACTGTAGCTCCATGAAAACTTGGCCGTGGGGAATTCGCCGCAACGCCCCGCTGTGTCGTATCCCTGCTTCTCTTCCCATTTTCATTTCTTCGAACCCCCTTCCCCATTCGCTGTGCAATGCGACGAAGCAAAACATGTAAGGTTCCTTCCTCATGACTGAGCCTTGAGCATCTGATCGATATGTTGCCGGCTGTTCTTGAATGTGGTTTCCAGGTAATGCAGCTTCTGGCTCAGTTTCTCGACCTCGCCCTCCTTCTCCTTGATTTGGCCCTCGAGCTTTTCCGCCAATTTTGGAGTGGGCATCGAGACAAACCTTGTCAGCCCCCGAGCAGCCGTGGTCAGCGAGATTCTTTTCAAACCCAGCGTTTTCGCGTTGCGACCTACATCTTGCCAACACCTTCATAGATGCCGGAGTTGGGAGGCAAGGTTGCTACCTCGTCCAAGGTCAAGCGAACCATGCGCATTTCTCGTTGCTTTGCCGTCATTTGTGTGCGAGCCTGGCCGATTTGCTGCTGGGCCACAATGGCCTGACTCTCGATCTCACGGATCAACTATGCGGGGGCAGGAAGTGTGAGCCTAGATGAAGATACCCTCGAGGTCATCGTCTGACCAATCTTGAAATATCAACTCACCTTCTCGAGTGCTTGGTTTGGGATCGACATGGTGACTGGCGATAGCGGCGTCTTGACAGCGAGTAAGGATATCTGCGTCTGTGCCGCCGCAGTTGGCAGTGTCTCCACGTGAGATGAGGGGACGAGCGATTGAGAGTGCTTAAGTAATATATGGTCTGTGCTGCGCAAGTCTTGCCGGCTTACGAAGTACCGAAGGTAGGTCCAACCTATCTACCTTCCTGCATAGGTAGCCCGGTACCGTACCTGCGTACCTACCTATCCTATGCAGGTAAGGTAAGGTAGGTAAGTAATGGCCTAAGGGCGTATTCGTCTTCGTTCAAAGCACTTCCATTCGCCGAAATACCGGGACCAGCCCAGTGAAGTGCCGCGGGACCTTCTAATTTCCACGGTCCCGGTCAGTGGAAGGCCCGTATACTGTATTCTTAGCCGTACGTAGCGTCGTGAGTCGCACGGGGTTGGGTACTAATTGCTACGAACAATCAAACACTTCGTAACGTTGACTCCGTCGCCTATGTGCTACTTGAGACAACCACATCCGCGACGGTCAGGCTCGAATCAGCCGCATCCAGTCTTATTGGGTGCGCGTTTATAGAGGGCATCTATTTATCTGGTTGGCAACCAACGCAGGGTATCTCGGACTATCTAGGTATCCTCTTCGCCGGCAAGGAATGCTCCACTTTAGTCTTGGACCGCAACTAATGCTAAGTAATCGTGGGCTTCGGTTGGCCCTAGCCACGGACTGAATAAGTCAATCAAACTGTTTTGAAGCGCTCGCAACACGTCACATGAGGCGGCATGCCAGAGGGCTGTCCGTTATATGCTCACTACACCGCCGCCTAACCGTTGTTGTAAAACGCGACGTGTCGAGTTTTCAATCACTCTTCTTGGCCTTGACCACAACGGGAATCGACGACAATGATCTGGGCCACACCAGTCGGTACTCATCTTCCCGGCCTTCGAGACATCGGCGAAGCCAGATCCCCCAGGTGATATAGTAGTATGCTAGTGTCAGTGTTAGCTCAAATGCCCGTACACGGCATCAAGTTGTATCCTGCTTGTAGGGATTGGGAAGCAGCTGTATCTGGGGTTTCCATACCTCCTAGAATTCAAGTTAGTTGCCGGATCTTCACTAACAAAAGAAGAAGACATACCAAGACCTGTCATCAAATGCCACCAGGCATGGCCTTCGAGCAGCGCGCCCCAAGGCAGGCCAACATGCCGCCTAAGCCTCCTAATCTGACTGCAGAACGCATTGTCAAGGTTCCAAATCAAGAAACCAGTGAGAAACACGCCGAGTCCTGCCCGCCCAGGTCAGCATTGCGTGAAGCTCCAGCTTTCTGGGTAACCAACCGGTACCAACCATGATCCACATCGTGTTGAGGGTTCTGCTGGCTGTGCCTCCGTTTCTTTTCGTGAGTACTGGTCTCAGCTGCGTCTCCATCACGTATAAGCTGCGAAGTACGACCTGTGGGGCGTTAGTATCACGCAAGGTCGAAGGAGCTCAAAGGTCTGGTGTACCGTTGTTGTCAGGGCCGCATAACAGCCCTGATGAAAGACAGGGTCCTTGGTGATGTGGTAATAAGACTGATTTAGTCAGTTCTACTCGCCCGTGCCAATGCTAAATTGGCAAGCAAGAGGTCAGACATACTGTGATGAACCCAGCGAGAAGAACTAGGCCACTCCCCAGGAACACAGAGAATCGGTTCGACTTTGAGTAGGCAAATGTAGCGAACACCATAAACAAAGTAGTGTATATCATGGAGAGCTCGTCAATCAACTGCATGGGATCTAAGTCTTGTGAGCAGGAGTGCGAAATTGGCAGGAGGAATTTGACAGCTCGAGAACGGCTTACACTTGAGCGAGGTGTGGAAGGCGGTGGACCCGAGGCCAACGACGATGTAGCCCATGTACGCAATGAGAAATATGCGCGGGTGTCCCTGGGAAACACAATTGTGTATTCCTTTCAACCCAAGCCACATGAACAAGAGGTTCGTTAAGGTCTTGGAGGGGGGTCACTTCGTTAGCACACATCCGGAGAGCCTCGTACGAGAAACCGTCTGGCATAAGCTCACATTGCAAACTTCGGCACAGTAGTACGAAACTACGTAATCCTTGGAAGAGGTGAGCAAGAGCCGACAGCGAGATTGGGACGGTACACGTTGCCGGCGCGAGAACCGCCTCTCACCTCTTCACAAAAGTTCAATGTCGACGTCTTCTCCCCCCAGTAACCATCCGGAATGTCGTCGTTGTATGCCAAGCGTAGCGCTTGGAACAAAGGTGCCGCGGCCATTGTTCGGTTCATTGATGGGATTGGCCCAGCGGAAACGAGCGAGGGACGTCGGAGATGATGGCAGGGTTCTCTCTGTGGGTGAGCCCGACTCGGCCGTGTTGAACACAACGCAGCATGGAAGTGCGCGTGAGCGTTCTTGGGAGTTTCGAAATTCGGGTCAATGTGTCAATCCGAAGAACCCAAAGATGGCCAAGCTGCGAATGATTTCCTGGGCCGAGGCCAACCGAGTGAGCGGATGTGAAAGGCTGCCGGAATTTGAGCAAATAGAGGGCGGTTTGAGACCAGCAACTGGTCTGTTGCTCTCTTCTTTCGATCGCAGCGACGTTTTCTTGACAAGTTCCAAGCTGGCCGGTTGTCGCGTAAAGCGAAAAGTAGGAAAGAGCTACTAATGAGATTCGAGTTGACGAGGAGAGAAGAGGCTGCCTGTGTAGCAGCACTACGGGCCGTCCGGAAGTAATCTTGCGGAATGATGGTGTTAGATTGTCCGGGGTTGACGGCAAGCTAGGAGAACCGGTGCCACTTGAGGTCAAGTCAAGGGAAAGACACGGTAAGGTGGAGGAAGATAAGGTAAGCTCTGGAGATGTCAGTCGAAAGATGTCATCGGCCAATGGTTCTAGACAGCTTAGGCCGCAAAATTCCAGTAAGTAACGTGTTCTATTGAGACAGGCCGAGGTGCTTCCCATGTAGCACAAGAAGTTGAGAGAGTGTCGGTTGACAAGTAGGTACCTGTCCTTTCCCCGTAGGCAACAAGGTAATCCGGGCCATGTCCGTTGCTGGTTGGTTTCGCGTGTCGCAAGCACGACTCGGACCAGGACTACCAGCGCCAGCGTTCTGCGACGAGGACGAGTTCCGAGGCTAGATGACGTCGAGCAGCCCGCTCATGCATTGTAAGGATAGGTACCTACCTACTCGATAGACTTTAATGCCTGATAAGTGTTTGAGTCTTCGATAAGCCAGGTACCTGATCTTCAGCTGCGTGCCGTCTACCAAAGGCACCTTACTACCTAGGTACCTAAGGTAGTAGCATAAGTGTGGCCCGTGGAGGGGCTAATTCTATTCCACTATGCACCTAAGGTAGCGCTGAAAATATGGAGGTAACCTAGTCGAGCTCCTCCTGTGCATTTATGCAGGAAGGAGGTACCCTTGGCCCGTAAGAAAAGATACCTGGATCTCTCTACCTCACGTTCCACGTAGGTAAGAAGCAACCGCAGCCCAAACCGAGATTGCTCCGGGTCCCTTACATGCCACGTTCCTTTCACTTGAGCTCCTCCCGTTGCTAATTATTTTCCAACTTGTCACCCCCGTAGCATTGGCTTGCTGAGCCTGTTTGCTGCTTGCTGATCCTCAAGTTACACTTGTCTACCATCTTCGCCCTTGCGATCGCCAGTGTCGTGGTCACCTTGCCAGTCTTATACCACCAAGATCCATAATCCAACTGGCCATCTGCCGGCCTGTACTCGAAATTCGAAATGTCCATGCCCGCCGCATCTCGCAACAGCCAGCAGGCATAGACACTCATCCTTCATCCCGTCGTGATATACCCGCACATCGACATCTCCAGAATGGCAGCTCCCGCCAAATCGTCGCGATGGGGATCCTTTCTCCAGCAGGCCGTTGCCGGCGTAGAGGCTCGCCTTGATAACATCCTCGCTGAAGGAGAGAATGGCCCTGGTCAACAGCAAACTCAAGCTCCTGACCGTCCCGACACTCCCGCCAAGGAACAGTCGCAAGTTGGTGAGCCATGCCCTTCCGCCCCATGGCCCGACAGTTAATTGCTGACCTCGTCGTCTCTCAGGACCATCTCGATCCTCGACCAGTAGCCGTACCAATGACCGTCTTCAAGAACGCCTGGCCAAGGCCATGGCTGCCAAGAACTCCCAATCCTCGGATGCTCGCAGCGCCAGACCGAGCGCTGACGGCGACCGCCCAGGTGCCGTATCTCCCCAGAACGAACCTTCAGCCGCCTTCGTTTCGATATCGACCGCCGGTTCAGCTTCCGCTCCCTCGGTTCCCGCCCTCGGTCTCGATGTACTCTCGGGAGATACCACGCAAAACATAAGCCAGCCCACAACCGCCTCTGTGCAACATTCAGAGGAAACCCCACGGTCTCCGATTACCACCCCGAAAGAAATCAACAGCGAGTCCGCAAAAACAGTTTCGACCTCATCAACTGTTCCACCCCCTCGGTTATATCTACCCGAAAGCAGCACGACCGAGGCCCTAGGGAAACCTGCTCACGACTGCAACCGATGCACTGAGCTCCAAGTTCGAGTTGAGGCCCTGGAAGCCGGGTATGAACAGGCGGCGAAAGATCAGCAAGAAGAGATACATCGTCATGTGGAGCAGTTCGAGGCGCTTCAGGCAAAGGTACAGTTCTTGGCAAAAGAGGCAACCGATGCCGCCCGAAAGTCGGCAGTCGCAGCTCCGGCTGGAAGTGATGAGCGAAAGCTCGCAGAGAGGGATGAAAAGATTGCGTTGCTCATGGAGGAAGGGCGGTACTTGGCTGCCACCGAACAGAAACACAGGTCCATCATCAAGAAGCTTAGGTCACAGGTCGCAGGGGATGAGAAGGTGGTGGGAGATTTGCGAGGTCGCCTCGAAAAAGCGCTGGCCGATATGGAAACACTGCGTACAAAGGCCACTCGAGTGGAGGAGCTTGAGCAGCTGAACCAAGAGCTACAAATACGGTCTAACGGCATGCTGGACGAGTTGAACGCCTTGCGCGCCGATGCAGCTACTGACAAATCCACGATACAGAAGCTGCGGGAAGATCTCCGCAAGGCCACAGACCAAGCCAACTTCGCCGTAGCACAAGCCAACGAGGAGGCACTGGCGGCAGCCAAGCGTCGCACAAAGGATCTCGAAGACAGTGTTGCTGCCCTTCAACTAGAGAAGACATTCGTCGCTGATAGGGCAAAAGCAAGCACCGCTGAGGCAGAGGATAAGGCTGCGCGAGCGGCAGAACGTTCTCGTTTGAAGGAAATTGAGTTGATGGCAGAAATTCAAGCGATGGAAGGGAAACTAGAGGCCATGCGCGCGTTGGCGGAAGAGGCGTCCTCTGGCGCTGTGGGGGATTCCCAGGCCAAGCTGCTGCGCCAGGTAGAAACACTGCAGACCCAGCATGCTATCGCCACGGAAAACTGGCAAGGCATTGAAGCCAGCCTGCTTGCTCGTCTTGGTAACCTGGAGCGAGAGAGAGACGACGCTCTGCGACGGGAATCAGACATGAGGAGGAAGGCCAGAGAAACGGTAAGACTCTCCGCCTGATTCTGGGGGACAGGTTTTGGCCTTTGATTGAATGCTGATGCTGACAACTTCCCAGGCGACCAAATGCAAGCGCCAGGACGAAGAGCTACAAGAACTTAGCAGCAGGTTTCCCAGCTACCAGCGAGATATAGAGACATACAAGTCGCGCGTCGACACGCTGCAAAAACGGGCAGAGGAAGCTGAGAGCGCACTAGCACAAGCCAGATCAGACCTTGAAAAACAACAAATGGTATGGAAGGCAGAGAGGACGGAGTCGGATCGTCGTCCCTGGCTAGAAGACACAATGTCAAGCACAATACCGAGGATGCACAGCCGACCAGACTCGCCCTTGCTGTCCGTACCAACGCGTACTTTCAGCAACGACCTTCTTCTGCTGCAAGGCGGCTCTGGCCCCGGGAAGGGCCGCAAAATTTCAACCCCGACAAGTGGGACGGACGGCTTCCAGGATGGATCGTCTCCAGGGAGAAGGTTGTCAAGCCAGCCTCCATCAAGACCATCGATTTTACCTGGCGTCCCTAGCCTCCCTGGCGCGACGTCCCTGACATCTTTCGAATTACCTCCAGATTCACTCCCAACACCGACGTCGCATGCAGGCGAAAAGGACGACATGTTTGATGGTGTGGAGACATCGTCCTCACCTCGGCAAATTATGCAAGACATGGTGTCTGTATCGACTGTAGCAGCAGGACCTTCCGTACAGTTGGTTGAAAGGATGAGCGCAGCCATCCGTCGGCTTGAGGCCGAAAAGGTTACATCGCGTGAGGAACTCGCAAGAATATCAGGACAGAGAGATGAAGCAAGAGCTGAGATTGTTGCTCTAATGAAAGAAATGGAGTCTGGTAAGACGGCATCAAAGCGAGTGGCCGAATTAGAAACCGAGGTTGAGGCTATCAACGCGAGATACCAAACGACGCTTGAACTACTTGGGGAAAAGAGCGAGCTCGTGGAGGAGCTCCGTGCCGATGTGCAGGACGTCAAAGCCATGTACCGCGATCTAGTAGAGCGCACAGTCAGGTGATGGGTGGGCTACGCAATTCTCTGGGGCCGAGCAAAATGCCAGGTCGTTTTGAAACATACACCTGCTTCCTAAGGGACGTAATAGGGCGGGCTATTTAGATACAGGGAGATTGTATTCTGCATGGTTTAGAGATCTATGCCCTCTCCCTCGGCTGCTCGCTCAATATAGCGACGGACCTGAATGATGTATCAATTAGCACCATGCATAAGAAGCAAGCGGAACACCGTATCGTTATGGTTGAGCATACCTCCTTGTCTGGTGCCAAGTCCAGGGCCAGGTAGCCATCATTGTCTTTCTTGTCAAATTCGGCGCCGGCTTTCAGCAACGCCACCGCTGTGTCGCCTGGAAAAGCCCCATGTGTAAGCCTCGCACGCGAAGAAGATGAGAATTTTGCGTACCATGTCCTTCGGCGACCGCATGGTGAAGAGCGGTGTAGCCGGATGCGTCGGTGGCGTTCAAAGGGCTCTTGTTCTTGACGAGCAGATTTACCATAGGGACTGAGCCCACAGCAGCAGCCCGATGAATGGGGTATTGGCCGCGTTTGTCGCGGACTCTGGTAGATGCGGGCGGGTCGCGGCTGAGAAGATTCTTCGCGACATCCAAATTGTTTTTAGAGGCGACAAAGTGAAGAACGCTCTAGAGAGACTCATCAGCATGTTCCGAGCTCAATAGTAGCTCGCAGCGCTACTGACCTGTCCGTTATGGTCTGGAAACGTACGGTATTAGTGAGCTTTTCTCCAAGACATAGCGGAGACCTCCTTACTCTTCAAGTTTACATCAGCTCCTTTCTGTAGCAAGAGATTCACGAGTTTTTCGCTATCCTTGATACTGGCAGAAATCATCAGTGGCGTCCAGCCGCTGCCGTCCTAAGAGAAAACGTCGAGTTAGCCAATATAAGTCGATGCTTGTTGGACACTGCCGTCTGACGACGCAAAGGAGCTGGGGGCATACCTGAACATCTGGGTTGAAATTGCGAAGTTGTGCGAGGAGGAGGACAATCTCCGTGCAGTTAGACGATGAAGCCCAATGAATGGGAAGTCTGCCGTCGTCATCTTCTCGGATAGCAAGCTTCGGCTCGGTCTGGAGCTTGTTAAACCAGTCCAGTCAAATCAAGTCCGTCCCGGAACTTGCGAATCACGTGAGGGATACGGCGTGATGTTTTACCTTGATGAGCGTCTCCGCGACCGAGACTGGTAAACATTAGGTTGGTACCTGGTTTCAATAGCAAATCGAAGCTGCTATGCTCACCTTTGGCTTCCCGAGCTGCTGTGTGAAGTGGAAATCGATCTTGGGACTCGTCCATGTCGTTACATGAACTGAAAACGTAAAGAATTTGGCGACGTCGATAGAGAGTAAGCCGCACGCCGTGGGATGTCAAGGGCGTATTATACAGCAGGATGCCATCTGACGATGTTATGCAGCACTGCAGATGCTGATGTTATTTATATGCAAGGTCGAAGAGTCAATCTTCCCTTACCTTACCTACCTAGGTACCTAGTTACATGGGCCCCGAACTTGCTTTGGGTGGAGGGAACCCTTTCCTGAGGTACCTACCTACCTACCTACCTACCTATGTAGAAGCCTACCTAGGTACACCGGTGCCTACCTGCCTTGGTTAAGTCCGATGGAAGGCACCCTAGGTACCTTAGGAGGTTGCTTACGTACCTCAGTAGGTAGTATACCACTTCAGGCTAGGTGCCTAGGTTACCTTACGTTATCACGCCTGAACCAAGGAGCAGATGCTGGCGCGGGAGCTGGCCCATGCGCAACGCGCTTCGCGAGGTATCACCCAGGCACCAGCTAGCTAATTGAAATTTCATCTCCCGGCAGTTACCGCCATCACATCGACCGCATCATTGTCATCAGATTCGTCAAATCTGGACTTTCGACTTGTATCACACACCAACCGGATATTCGCAATGCAAGTCGACATGTCCGACACGGGCCCTCCAGCTAACTCTCCTCTGGGATCACTCCTAGACGGCAATCAGAAGACCACCAAGGCCTTCTACTCAGATTCGCCACTTGCACCGACGAGAAAGCGACAGCGGACTGAGTTTGCCGATACGACAACCGAGACGAATCAGAAAGGCGCTGTCGACCGCCGCTTTAGACTTGAATACTCGAACATCCAGAAGCTCCCAGCATCTCTGGCCTCCAAACAACCAGCTCCGCCGAATCAGTCACGAAGAATCAAGTCGCAACCGAACGCTGACCAGGCTCTTGTGCGTCAACGCCCCCCTCAGAAGCTTCTTGAGGGTCCAAATGGCTCCGTCACTGCCTCCAGCAAAGACACCCAACTGGCTTCCGTCGGCAGTAGCCAGGTCAAGGGACGGCCTTCCGAGTCCACGAGTCTGGCGCGCATGGGTACATCAGCATCGCAAGTCGGCAGGCCTGAATGGCAACCTCCCTGGAAGCTTATGAGAGTCATATCTGGCCACCTTGGCTGGGTGCGGAGTTTGGCTGTCGAGCCTGGGAATAAATGGTTCGCCAGCGGTGCCGGAGACAGGACGATCAAGATTTGGGACCTCGCAACCGGATCGCTCCGCCTTACCTTGACTGGGCACATATCAACAGTTCGTGGCCTCGCCGTGAGCCCCCGCCACCCATATTTGTTCTCCTGCGGCGAAGATAAGATGGTCAAGTGCTGGGATCTCGAGACGAACAAGGTCATCCGCCACTACCACGGGCATCTGAGTGGCGTATACACGCTGTCGCTCCACCCGACTTTGGACGTCTTAGTTACGGGAGGCCGAGACGGAGTCGCGAGAGTATGGGATATGCGGACACGAAGTAACATTCACGTTCTCTCGGGCCATACGGGAACTGTATCAGACGTTAAGTGCCAAGAGGCGGATCCTCAAGTCATCACAGGCTCTTTGGATGCAACGGTGAGGCTATGGGACTTGGCTGCCGGCAAGACCATGGGTGTTTTGACACATCACAAGAAGGGCGTCAGGGCCTTGGCCACCCACCCGCGAGAGTTTACGTTCGCGACTGGTAGTACGGGCAGCATCAAGCAATGGAAGTGCCCCGAGGGTGCCTTTATGCAGAATTTTGAAGGCCACAACGCCATCATCAACACTCTCAGTGTCAACCAGAGTAATGTGTTGTTTTCGGGTGGCGACAACGGCTCCATGAGTTTCTGGGACTGGAAGACGGGACATCGATTCCAATCCCTGGATACTACGGCACAGCCAGGTTCCTTGGACGCAGAGGCTTGTATCATGAGCTCGACATTCGATCAGTCTGGTCTGCGTCTCATCTGTGGCGAGGCTGACAAGACAATCAAAATCTGGAAGCAGGATGAAAAGGCGACGCCAGAGACCCACCCCGTAGTGTGGCAGCCAACTCTGGCAAGACGCAAATATTAGTGGGCTAGACTTGGCAGGCGGAACAGAGGGTACGGGAGAGAACGGAGAATGATGCAGCCAGAAGGGAACCCGAGCACAGGCAGAAAGTGATTAATAGATACCCAATTGTTTCTGCCTCATTTCAACAGTTCCGGTTCTGTTTGGTATATAACATGAGCTAGAAAAATAGACCAAGTGCCCTCACTTCGCCGTCATCTCTAAACGCCATCTTAATCTCTTCGTCTCCGACTGCAAGGCGCATTTTGCTTGGTCGTTCAGCCCGTTGTGCCTCTAAAACTATGATGCCTGCGCCGACCAAGTCGACTGCTGCTCGGCGAAGAGCCATGGCTTCCATCACTCCGGCTCTGTCCTTGGCATGACCTGCGTCAACTCCGACAGAACAGCAGCCGAGGGCCGCGACGAACCCCGAGTCTGAACCGCCAGTATCCAATTTCAAGATGCGATGTAACTCGTCAACGACATCCCCGAACGTCGTTTCGAAGGTTCCGTTCCTTTGGATCCGGACCAGCAAAGAGCTGAGGAGCAGTTTTGGTGCGAAAGCCAAAGATCTCAAATACTGCTGAATGGGGTTTGTCGTCGCCTCGCTGATGGCTTTCCTGATAATCTCCACAGTGACCTTCGCGGGTGCCTTGTCATGTCCCTTCTGGCTTCCTGAATCCGGTCGACTGCGATTCTCGGACTCGGCGATTTCAACGGCTCGTCTACAAATATCCAAAGCTCTCCTGGCATCACCACTGACGGCGGCCACTTTTCGGCTGGCGAAGCCGATAGCATCTGGTGAAACAATGTTCCCTGGGACCCCCTCTAGTCTGGACTGTATGATCTGTATTAGTTGCTGGTGATTGTATCCTGGAAATGTGATTCTCGTCAAGCCTAGAATATGTCGTTAGTTTGCTCGTAACGTTGCAGGATTCGCACGGCGTACCTATGCGAGAACTGATTTTGTTACTAAGGGTTCTTTCTGGGAGATCCATGGTATTGGCCACAGCGAGAACAATAAGCCTGCTGTGTCGCAAACCAGGCCAGTTGAAGAAGTTGTACATGACGCTTTGATTTCGCGTCACTAACTGATCGAGCTCGTCCATGAGAACCACGCATGGCGTACGGCGAGGACTAGGGTTGTTGAACTCTCGTTCCAGAAGATCGATGGCTTGCGACGGGCTCACACGCTCCCCCTTCAAAGCTTCCCATAGCAGACTGTATGACTGATGGGGGTCGGTAATTTTCATGCCGTTGATCTCCACAAAGATGAAGTCATCAAGTTCGTCAGCCCTGACGTTGTCTTCCAGTCGAGAAATCACTTCGCGGACAGTCGCTGTCTTCCCAGTTCCGGGCGTACCGGCAATGTAGATACAACTTCCAGTGCCATCTGCAATGGCAGCCTCCAGATGAGAGTATACCGTGGAGAACTCGTTCTCTCGGCATGGCAAACTTGATGGGACCGAGGCAACATGAAGTCGGGACCGTGCCTGCTGGAAGGGTGACGACTGAAGACGTGCTGGGGACAGCTTCCTTGTACCCAAAGGGGTGAACTCTAGCGTCTTCTTCACCATCACCCTTGGGAGATTGTCAATACCACCACGAGGATAAGCACGCATCGAAGAGCGACCACATACCTTTTTCGGGAAGACGGCGTTGTCGCAGTGCGGTTACCGCCGCGAGGGGTTGAGGCGCCAGATTTTGTTGTCCTTTTTGGCGTTACAGCATCGGTGTTGTCGGTGAGAGCAAAGGACTGTTCGGGAGTTGTTTCCCTTTCCGCTCGTCGACTTCTGGTCGACTTGGTTTGCGACTTGGTGAACTGGATCAAGTCATGGACACCCTCCTCACCAGCGCGGTAGATGTCCTCCCAAATAAATTCGTCTGTATAGGTCGCTGTTCTCGTATTGCATCCACGACGGCAGATAAACAGCTTGCCGAAGTCGGGGGATGATCGTGGGATCTTGCCGGACGGATACTTTTTGAAGAACTCTTGCGGAGACAGCACGACAGCCTTGCCATTGATGGCCGCAAGTGGATTGACGTCCCATGAAGGGGATATGTACAGCTCGTTCTACCAATAGTAAGTCTCGGTATAGAGCTGGGTTGGGCAGCTAGCCTTCCACATGGACAACGTACGGGTAGAAAGTCCGAACGTTTTCTCCCTTTGTTGCGTATCTCTTTCTCCGTTGAGAACCACATGAAGTTCGCAGCCTTCTCCGCTTCGTCGCCATCTTCTATGAACTCGCATACGATGGCCACCCACGCCTCCTTTGACCCCTCTGCCTTCAGGAGGACACAGTCGCCAATGTGGCATTGGAAGCTTCCCAAGCTGGCCCCAACGATTCGCTGTTCACGACGTGTCCTTTTGCGCTTCCGGGGGCTCTTATGCTCCTCGTCCTCTTCATCATTGTCGTCGTCGTCGAGCCTCGCTGGAGATTGGGTAATGGATCGCTCATATAGCCATTCCCAAGGCAGGTCTTCGATGCCGAGTTCGTCATCGGAATCGTCTCTAGCGACACCCGTCGGCTTGCGAGATTGTCGCTTGGATTGAGGCACCGTGGCCATGGTGTGTGGGGATCCGGGAGACAGGATGGCGAGGCAGATGTCAACCGTGTGTAGCTCTAGAGAAAGTGAACGTTTAGATAGGTACTAAGCCTCACCCCCAACCCTCTAATTGCCCCCCCCCCCCTTCTAATTACTATTTTTAGATATACTTTAGGGTTAATTTTAATAATAATAAATTTAAATTTAATGGTATAATAGGGCTAAATCTAAAATTAAAAGTATAAATAACTTTATTATAACCCTTTTACCTCTAATCTCTATATTAGTATTATTTTTTTAACTAATAGGCTAAGTTATAAATACTTAATATATACTATAACTTTAATCTTTATTATTATAATCTACTAAATATTTATAAAGTACTTATTTTTATCTTAATATACTTTAGCTCTTTTTAGTAATATAATTTATTTAATATATATTTATAATATAAATATCTCTTATTTATTATTTATTTAAGCTATATTGTTAAAGTTTAGCTACTTTATAATTTTATTAAATATTAGCTTATAATATATAGAGTTAAACTTAGCCTCTATTACCCCCCTCTTAAATAGAAACTTAAACTTCTTAAAGTTATTTAACTTTATAGGTATTAATATAATAAATATAAAAAGGTTAAGAGGTATATTAGGGTCCTTTTAATAAAAAGAAGGTATTTTTAATATATTAATATATTATAAGTTAGCTAGTATATATTAAGTTAAATAGAATAAGAAAGGCTTAATTCTCTAACTAATAAATATATATATAAGACTAGCTATATATATTTCTAGTTATACCCTAGCTATAAGATCTAAGTTATAAGTATTCATTTAGTTTTTATACTTATTATATAACCTTTTAGCCTTATAGATAAAGCTATATCTCTATTTCTAATATAATATACTCTTTAAATATATAAAATAATATAATTATTCTTTATATTAATAATATAATATAAATTTAATAAAAGACCTTTTAAAATATATTTCTAAAGGTCTTTTAAAGCTAAATAAATTACTTTTATACCTATAAAAAATACTTTATCTCTAAATAATAAAATTTTCTTTATTATTATATTAATTTAAAGTTATTAAAATAATATAGTATAATTAGCTTATAGGTAGGGCGCTATATTCCTATTAGCTAATTACTAATTATATAACCTATATTATATAATCCTTAATATCTTTTAATAAAATCTTATTATTATAGCTAATTAGTTAGTTATAATAATAATAATAAATCTATACTATATAAGCTTAAATACTATCTATTTATAATATTATTTTAAGCTTAATATATTATAATTTATATCTATATAATATTACTAAATATATAATTTAATACTAATTAGTAATTATATTATTTATATTATTAAGACTCTTATAATAAGATCTTAATTATAGATTAATAAGAATAACTAAATATAGTTATAATAAGGGTAATTTAGTCTTAAGATCTTATAAGTCTATATAACTTTAATAATAATATATTATTTTATATACTTCTATTTATTATTATTATTTATTATTATTACCCTTAAAGTATTTATTATTAATTATACCCCTTAGAGATATCTACTAAATAGTAATATTTATAATAATAAACTTTATACTAAATAAAACCTTAAAGAGGCTATTCTAAATAGTAAACTTATTTTAATAAAACTTAATTAAGTATAATAAGATACTATAATATTTTAGCTTAATAGATCTTATTAATATTAAGGATAATATATTTTATATAAATAATAAGAACTTATAATTAGAGGGATATAAAAGGAAGCTATTATTAATAATAAGATAAATAGAGTAATAATTTACCTTCTACCCTATTAGGAATCCCTAAGACCCTAAATTAACTTAATAAGATTATAATATATTATTATTTATTAACTAGAGAAATAGTTAAAATAATATATTAATTATAATCTTTATTATTCTCTATTATTATTATTATAAAAGTATTTAAAATATATAAATATTAAATAAGTAAAAAGTCTCTATTTATATAAAAGTCTCTATTTATATAAGGTATTAAGGGTAACCTAAATAATAATAAAGTTATTAATAGTAATATTATAAAGTTATTATCTTTAACTATTAGCTATTTAATTATTTTACTTAATTACTTTATTAAGAGGGAGTAAAATAGTATTAAATAAGATTTAATAATAAATAGAAAATTAGAGTGCTTTTATATTTTATAATATCTTTAGCTATACTTATAATAAATAAAATAAAGAATCCTCTATAAAATATATACCTATTAATTCTACTAAAAATAAATAGAAATATAAAACTCTTTAAGAAATACTCTATTCTATATAAAATTAAGAAGTAAGTAAATAAGTATTATTAAGATTTTATAAATAAAATTAACTTTATAATAATACTTAAAATTATTATTATAGTTATTATTAATTATATTATTATTATTTTTTAAGCTAATAATCTATTTAGATATAATTTATATTAATCCTTTTATAATAAGTTTTAAAATTAGCTATAAGACTTTTAAAATAAGTTAGATATAAATATTATAAAATAAGCTATTAAATATCTTATTAATAATAGTATATATATAAAGAATAATAGAATAAGACCTTAATAAGATCTATATAAAATTACTATACTTATTATATATTATATATAAATTAATAAGGAGATTACTAGAGCTAAAGCTAGTAATGAATAGCTATTAATAAAGTTAAAAAATCTAAAGTTTTAAAATAAAATTATTAAAGCTTAAATAATAGATCTATTACTCTTATTAAATAGTAATAATCTTATAAATAATTAATAGTAATAAGATAGTTAAGATCTATATATAGAACTTTATACCCTATTAATAACTATAAAACTAAATTAATTAATAATATTAATTTTAAATAGATTTAAAGGAAACTAAAAAAATAAATTTAAGCTATTATAACTTATTTTAGAGATTAATTATATTAGCCCTCTATATTATTATTAATCTATTAACTATATTAACCCCTTAATAACTTATAAACCTTAATAAGTTATATTATAATAATATTAAGTTTAGAGGAGGGATATATAATATATTTAAATTGAAACTTTTTATCTTTAGAGACCTCTATATAAAGATTAAGATTATATAACCTTAAATAGAAGCTACTTTCTTTATTATATTAAAAGATATAGCTACTAATTATTATTATAATTATCTCTATTAATAAATAAATCTCTTTTTTTATAACTTTATAATATATATTAAATTATACTTTAAAATATTAAAATTATAATAAGTCTATCTATTTAAATAGTAAGAACTTATATTATAATAGATTATTATTATAAATCTAGAGAAAATAAAGCTTAAATATTTTAATTTATTAATTATTAAGTTAATAACTATTTAATAAGCTCTATTAACTAAATAGATTAATAATAAACCTCTCTATAAGTAAATACTTAATACTTATTAAGAAATAAAAGAGGTAAAACTCTATTTATTTTAATTTATATTTATATTTAAAGGAGTCCATAACTAGTTATAATTTATAATTAGTTCTGTAGCTATAATCTCTTATTAAAAGACTAATTAGTTTATTATTAATAAAATACTAAAAGGTAATAGCTAATAATAATAATATAGTTAATTTATATAAAGATTAAGCTTTAATAAACTATTAAAGTGCTATATATATAGAAAGATAAGCTATTAATTAATAAAATATACCCTTAATAAATATAAATAGGTATATAATAAGTTTAAGATAAGAAGAATAAATAATAATATTAATATTAAGTTATATAATATATTTCTAACTTAATATAAAGAAGACTCTATTTAGAATAATTATAATAATATTAATAATAATCTAAATATAGAGGAGATAGCTTAAGACTATTTAATAGTATAATTACTAAAAAACTATATTACTAAATAAAATTAAAATAAAGATAGTAATTAATAATTTTATATTTAGATATTAACTATAGCTATAATAAATAATAAATTATTATAATATTAATGTATAGCTTATAAAGACCTAGATATCTATTTTAATTTAAACTTAATTTCTATTTTATAGTTTCTATTTAATAGGAGATACTCTAAGTAGCTATTTTAAGATATATTACTAAATATAAAAGTAGTAGATATATTAATAAGAGGCTATAAGTAGATAAAGGTATTATAATAAATAATACCTTTAGCTAAGCTAAATAATAAAAGAGCTAGAGAAATAGGAGCCTACTTTAATAATAATAAGGATAACTTATCCCTTAAGATTATTATAATTACTACTCTATTTAGCTCTTTTTAATTTTATATTTTAATTATAAATATACCCTTTTTATTTAGCTTAAATAATATAAATTAACCTAATATAAAATATAATAACTTAATAAATAAGTTAGTTTAAAATAAATAGACTTAAATATTAATTATTTATAAATAGAGTTATCTATAGCTATTATGATTCCTAAAGTATTAATAAAATATCTAGCTTATTAAGATTAAATTTTAATAATTATACTATAAATTTAGCTATTTATCTATTAAGTAACTTTATAAATTATTTATAAAAGCTAAATATAATATTAATCTATAGTTAATCTTAAAGCTAATAAAGATCTACTATTAATACTAAATAAAAGTAGCTACCCCTTAACGCTTTAAGTTTAAAATCTAAAATAACTATAAGTTTAACTATAAGATTATTATTAATATCCTCTATATTAATAGCTACTTTATAATCTATATTATAAATAGAGCTATAGAGTTTAATATTATAAGATTTATTTATAACTTCTCTATTAATACTATTTAAAATATAATTAAGATATATTAAATTAATATTTATATTAAGCTACTTAATTAACTTATTATTAATATAAAAACTAATCCTATATTATAATAGTTTAAGTAGTTAGCTAGATCTATAGGGATTACTATAATTAAGGTCCCTATAGAGATTTATAACTTAATTAGTAAAGTTAAAAGATCTTATATATATCTCTATTATATATATAATATTATTT